TATATATATATATATATGCACTATATATAGTAGTAGCTAAAGTGTTAGTAATATTGTAAACCAGTACAGTACATATACGTATATATATTATATATATATATATACGTATGCATATGATGCCAGTAAAGCACAAATGAAACTTATTGAAATAATAATGAAATTGTATTACTTTCAAAAGCCCTTGGAGCTGCTCGCTCCGCTGTCTCGCTGGAGACGCAAAAAGGGCAGAGTTTGTCCCATAAAGAACAACAGGAAGCAGCAAACGAACAACACGAAGCAGCAAATGAACATAGTGAAGCATCCAGTGCAGCGATCCAGCAAATGCTCTTATTGCTGGGGGCTGCATTAATCCTGCGGTCAGCCGCAGTTAGTAGACAGCCAGCAGACTTCTAGTACGATAAAACGAACTCTACAGCTCGCCACGGAGGCTGTCTATACACATGAAAAGCTCTAGCCACAGCTGTTGCTGCAGCTGTAGCTTCTGCTGTTCCTGCAGCTGTTTCTGTAGCTGCTGCTGTCGCCCTTTCTGCACCTGTTGATGCTGCTGTTGCTGCAGCTGCACCAGCACTTGCAGCTGTTGTTAGGCTACTGGGGTATATATGTGCCGCTGGGTATCTGTTACTCGATGCTACAGCAGCGCAACCGCCAGGGTGTATAGGTCATGAAGGGGTACGCCTGCGGCGCTTTCAAGACAGTCTGCAAGATTTTCTGCTTCTTGTTTTAACGCCTGTCTTTCTTGTATGCGTTGCTGGTCCTTGCGTTCCAGGGAACGCAGCAGCTGCTCTACTGCTTTATCTGTCCATTGCTCTCCCCACGCCGCCACGGCCTCTGCTGAGATCACGCATTCTCTAGCCCAAGCGTCATGCAAAGAGACAGCCTTCATAAATGCACCCAAATGAAAGGGGCGCTGCCCCGGAGAGAAAGGAACAGAAAGCCGCTTCCCAGGATCCTCCCGCCCGAAGCGAGAGCCGAAAGCAGCAGCAGCAGCAGCAGGATCTGCAGCTTCAGGAAAGGCAAATTCTTCCCCAAGTTCGTTTAAAAAATAACGAAATATCTGTACGCTTTCCAGAGCCTGTGCAGCCATCATATCCTCGCGCTGCAAGACGTTAGCAAGCCGAACCGCCAGCTCCCTAGACACCCGAGGGGCGTTGCTTTCATCTTCATCTCGCTCCTTTAAAGCAACAAGCCGTCCCCCTAGCAGACTCACGAACTCCTTAAACGACACTGACCCCTCCCCGGGGGCCCCCCCTGCAGCAGCAGCAGCCTCTTCTGCAGCAAGTGGAAACGTCCGGATGCCTAGGAGCTGCGAGCCTACACCGCTGGCATGGCAGAACTGTTCAAGCCTTGAGAGAGCATCTAGCCTTGCGCTTGCATTTGTACAGACAGCAGCAAGCAGCTGTACACGGAATGCATAGACCTGCTTTAGCCTCGTGTTGTCGCTCTCCCGCGGACGAACGATGAGCCTCAGAGCCTCCGAATGCCGTTGGAATAATGCCACAGGAGCAGGCACAATGAACCCCCCGCCAACTGTAGGCAAGAAATGCCGCGAAAATGCACGGCGAGTCACCTTAGTAGCTTTCTCCCAACGCTGCTCTACGCTCTGCAATGCTTCGGCAAAATTCTGCTCGTACAGTGTAATACTCTCGGCGTCATAGTCCAGCTGTACAGGCAACTCGTCGCCACGTAGGACCCAACCAATGTAAGGAAAACGCTCTTCAAAAGAAGGAGTCTTTGGAATGTGGTCTAGCTTCATACGAGGCTTCGTACGAGCCGGCTTCTGCAGCTGCAGCGTCAACACCGGCTTCTGCTTCTGCTTCTTCTCCTGTTTCTGTTCCTTCTGCTCCTCCTGCTGCTCCTGCTGCGGCTGCTGCTCGGGCCACCCACTCGCCGGCACTTGCTGCAGTTGCCCTCTTCCGTCTTGTAGCCAACGCCCAGCAGCTCCTGCTACGAGCAACGCCCCTAAGAAAAAGCCGCCAAACACCAGCAGCCTGGGGCGCCTGTTGCTGCCTCCTTTGGGCTTCTCAGGGGACCCTGCCCCTACCTGTCCCTTGCCACCTGCTGCTGCAGCAGCTTCTGATTCAGAAGCACTGTCGTTTACACTGTCTGACCAAGCGGCAGCCCCCCAACCAGCAGGGCGCCCTATGGTAGCCCTGGGAAGCGGAGTTGGTAGCCCGTCCGCTGAGCCTGTGTACTGCAGAGTCTCCTCATCGAATGATAGCCAATGCGTCGCTGTTGCAGTTTGTGCCGTTGTTGTTGTTGCTGCTGCTGCTCTTGCTGCTCTTGCTGCTCCCCAGTTAGGTCTCGTGGGCAGTGCGCCAGCTGGCGGAACCACTGAGAATGCCGCTACAGACGCCATTCGGAAAGAAGCTTTCGTGCAGCACCAGCTCTGCTGCTGACAAGCAGCAATTTGCTGCTGCCCGCATGCATGCGCTGGCGGCAGCGAGCGGTTTGGGGCACTCGTAACAGATTCAAGAAAACAGCATCTTCAATAAAACCACACCTTCTTCATTATGTAAGAAGAAGCGAAAAGGAAACACAATTATTACAGACAAATGCCACAAATATATACAGACAGAAGCCCCAGTCGCCTAGGCACCCACAACGCAGCGTCGGCGGCGGCAGCAGCAGAAGTAGCAGCTCCAGCAGCAGCAGCACCTGCTGCTGCTGCTGTCGCTGCTGATAGGTCTCTTCTACAGCTTCCCTCCCCTAAAAACAGTTTTGAAATCCAATTAAAATAAAAATCAACAGAGAATAAAACAAAGATAGCGGCGTGAGGGGCCCCGGTGGTTCAACTCGATTTGCAGGGCTGCCATTGTCTTCGTTTATTTTGTATTTTCTGTTTCCTCTGACCTTCTTCTATTTAGGGGTCAGTACAGCAGCGTTTGTGAGGACTTCGTGGCAAAATCCCAACTAAAACGTCTCAAACCGTATATATATATGCATATTTATGTACATGCGTATATGTGTATGCGTTTACATGCACAAATTATGCTTGAATGTGTATATGCTAATATACATGCTTATTCTTGTGAGTACATACCTACAGGCAAATATACACGAGCTGATAACGTGGTGCTATTTGTGCTTATATCTATGTCTCTGCGCATCTATATATCTGCATGTGCGTGCATGCCGTGCTCTTGTATATGCTGACATATATATATATATATATATATACATATATATATATATATATACATGTATATGTATATATATATATATACATATATATGTATAAATAAATAAATATATGTATATATACATATATATATATATATATATAAGCATATATAGAATAAGCATATATATATATATATATATATACATATATATATAAGCATGTATGTATATGTTTATTATTTATGCATCCGTACTAATTGCCAATATGGTGATTTAAACTTGTTCCGCTTTGCGTCTTTCAAGTGATCTTGTAACAACCTAAGCTACAAACGCTAAACCCTAACCTGTGATGCATACCCCACACCCAACGCTGCAAACCCTACACCCTAGGCTTTATACCCTCGTTGCAGTTTTTGCTTGGGGGGGCGGGGGTTGGGAGCACCTGAAGACGACAAAGACATAGACAATAAATAAAAAATACAAGACACGAGCTCCCCTCAAGCTGCTGATAAACCCCCTTTTCGTCGTTATGCACCCTGGGCAAGGCTTGCAGATGGGCTGGGGAGAAGGGGCAGCAAACATTTCTTGATGAGTTGCAGCTGCAGCGTTCCTTGTTTGCTGCAGTGCCTGCTGCAACGGAGAAACCCCGCATGCAAGCCAAAGCTTCAATGAACCCCTATCATTGATGCTTGCAGTGATTCCGTATGTGTTTATCAATACTTCCCGCCCCTCAGAAGATAACATGCCAACCGGACAAAGGAAAAACATTATTGCTGCTACGGAGAGACGTGTTCACAAGCAAGAGCAGAACATTTCGCCCTTTGGAGGCCACATCATAAGCATAAGCGCATATGGCTGCCTAGGGTTTAGGGTTATGCCTGCGGGGTTTAGGGTTTGCAGCTTGGGGTGTCGCTGCGCCTCAACACAGAAAAAACAATAACAGGTATAACAAAGGAGAGAAATAAGCATTCACGCTCTCGCGCGTGCTGCTGCGGTTTATATCCTATTATCGTTCATTGTTTGGGAGCCAAAGCAACCCCCACAAGAAACGGTTAAGAGCTAGCTGTAGCTAGCTAGCTACAGCTAGCTGAAACCGCACTAGCCGTGCCTCTCCTTCCTTCTGCAAATTTGAGGTTCACCTGGCCCTATGGAAGGCCTCCACCTTGCTGCAGCTGTGAAGCAGCGAAGTGCACTTATTGCAGGCGCAGCACCGCAGCACGGTGCAGCCCGAGGCCTGCTAACTGAAGCTAGATGGAGCTAACTGTAGGTAGCTCTAGCTAGCTGTAGTCGGCTGGAACTAACTGTAGGTAGCTGTAGCCAGCTGGAGCTAGCTGTAGCTGCCTGTAGCTAGCTGTTGCTAGCTGGCTTCTGCTGCCTTCGGCATTGCTGCCCGTTGGGGCTCCATGGAGCGAAGTGGTGGTGGCAGGCGTTTGCGTGAAGAGGGTCGAGGTAGCCGTGAGAACCAGCTAGCTGTAGCTAGCTACAGCTAGCTAGCTCCGGCGAGGTAACTCCACCGAGCCAGCTACAGGCAGCTAGCTCCAGCGATCCAGCTCCTGCGAAGCAGTTGTGGCTAGCCAGCTAGCTTCAGGTAGCTAGCTGTAGCTAGCTATAGCTGAGAAGCCATATATAGGTAGCATGAATTTGCGTTTAAGTGGAGTTCGGGGAAGTAGTTTATTCTGCTGCTCTTTGGGTATTGATTCGCAAGATGTTGCATTCTTCTGTCAGCAACTCGTCAGCTCCAATGCGGCGGCCGTCTGGCAATTCTGCAGAAATAAAATTTCTGCCGATCGCTGGGTGTAGTAGACTAGCAAAGTCTCCAATTCTGTTAAATAAACAAATAAGGAAACAAACCAAGAAGAACAGGAACACGAGAATGGCATTGCAACGATGCCTATATGTTGTGCATAAACATAGGGAATTCCACATTACTTGTATTGATGTACTTTGCGCTGCATACTCAGTGATTCTACGCCAACAGACATATCGAAATGCTAACGGCAAAAATGTACAACGGGGATGTACAATATATATATATATATGACCACATGTGGCATATCTATCTACATGCATACACTTGTACGTTAATATTCTCATATATATATATGTAAATATATGAATGCAAATACACATAGGCAAGCATAGGCAGAGAAACGTGAGAGGCGCGTGCCTTGGTGTGCGCACGCAAACACATGCCGGGAACCTCCATTTATTCCAACAATTGGACAGGTCTCTGTCACTTTCTCTCTCTCTCTCTCTCTATATATATATATATATACATATGTATACATGTATCTATGTATGCGTACACACGTACAAATACATGTATACATGCATTAATATGCACGCACAGCTAGATATATTGTAAAATACATATATGAATACATATATATAATATATATGTATATATATATATATATCAATACATACAAATAACAGTAAGCGAACACAAATATATATATATATATATATATATATATATATACACGCACACACACATGCATGCGCGTACACGAAAAAATATATATGTATACATATATATATATATATATATATACGTGCTTATTTATAATATTGCTGACGTGGTTCCCTTTTTGACGAGGAGACATTCGATGAAAGGCCCGCGTCCCTTTTTGTCCGTGGCTGTGAGCTGCAGCGATTTCACCGGATAAACGGCAATGCGCTGCCCCAACACTTCAACAGCAATGCGTAGAGCCTTTGCATGCAGCAGCACACAAAAAGAAAAGAAAACAAAACAAAATACAAACGCAAACATACAAGACAAATACAATATATTGTGCATACATCCCACAGCCACTATGTACAATACGCAAAAAAATAAACGTTCTGCACAAATCCAAATTCAATAGCATCAACAACAACACCATTGCCTGTAGCAGCATGCGTTCTGCCATCCACAGCAACAGCAGCAGCAACAGAAGCAACAACACACTCCGACATCAGCAGCAGAAGCAGCAAAAAACAGAACATTTATATATGGGCAGCCTCAGGAGCGAAGGCGGCAGCAGGAGCTCCACCACCAGCATTAACTAAAACAACTCCAGCAGCAGCAGCTACACTGCCAACAGCAGCATTCTCAGCACCAGTCGGCGCTGTCAGCAGCAGCACCATCAGCAGCACCAACAATAGTAAGAATAATACCAGCAGTACCAGCAGTACAAGCAACCGCCTCACCAGCAACAGCAACACCCTAGCCAGCAGCAACAACACCACTTCAGCCAGAAACAGCACCCTTGCCAGCAGCAGCAGCACTTTAGCTAGAAGCAGCACCCTCGCCAGCAGCAGCAGCACCCTCAGGAGCAGCACCAGCAGCAGTAGCAGGTTACCTCTGCTATCCCGGTGCTTCCGTGTCTGAACAGCATGAGGTCCCGCACTTTCTCGAGCCTGTGGAAGGCCTTGGGATCGATCGGCTTAAGTACTTTAATCGCCTCCCGCTGCTCCTCCTTCAGGCGGCTGCTGCCGGGACCCTTTATATCTTCGCTGCAGTATGCGCTGCCGCTGCATGCGTCGTAAGCGATCATCTTCTATGCATCCACACCACAAACCCTAAACCCTAAACCCTAAAGCCTAGTTGTTGGACCCCAGTCACAGCCCCGCGAGGATTAGGGCTGAGGGTATACGCCTCCAGCCCTTGCTGGCCACGTGTATAGAGCGCTATCCATTCAGTGGGAGTTGCGAGGCAAAAGCCCCTTCCCGTAAGCCCTAAACCCTAAACCTTAGGACTGCTCATAATAAGGCATAAAGTGAAGGCCTAGACAGGGTTGAGGGTTCAAGGGGGCCCCACCTGCTGCTGCAGCTTTTGCAGAAAACACTCCGCCAAAGCACTTGTCAACACGAGAGGACTATCCCGAAATTTCGATGAAAATCGCAGCACATTTTTGTCGACGTCCCCGCCCTTAGGAAAACCCCACAAACATCCGGTCCCCATCCCGATCCAGATCCCCCGATCCAATCCCTATCCCAATCTAGATCCCCCCACCCCGACCCCTCGATCCGGTTCCTTGCCCCTCAAATTCACTACCCCATATTAGAGGGCCGCAACAGCGATCCCAACTGCCGATCCTGATCGCGATCCCGATCCCCATCGCAAGGTCGACTCACCGCGTCGCACTTGTTGAGGACCAAAACAAAAGGAAAACGAATCTTCACGAACGTCTTGACCTGCAGATACAAACATGTGAACTCAAAACCCTAAACCCTAAACCGTAAACCCTGGAGGATAAGTGCCCAGCCCCAAACCCTCAACCCCAAGCCCGAACCCTTAAACACCCTGAACTGCGCGAAGCAATTCAAACCCCCACCACGAAGCTAGAACTAAACAGCTTAGGGTTTAGGGTTTAGGGTTACGCTTCACCAGCTCCATGGCATCATCTGCCGTCCACTTTGTGAGGTCCTCGGGGATAAGCGAGGCGTCATCTGTGGGTGATGCTGCTGCTGGTTGGAGTCCCGCTGCTGCTGCTGCTTGTGTTGCTGCTGCTGCTGCTGCCTGAACCGCCTGGCTGCGCGCCCGCCTGGTGCGCTGCAGCTCCTGCAGCACAGTTGCCACCAGCGACTGTGGAGCTCCGTAGCCGCTGAACTGCGCGGAGAATGTTTCCAGCAGCGAGCTGCAGGAGCAGCAAACCAACAGCAACAGCAGCAGTAGCAGCAAGCGCAGCTCTGTCGTTTTGCATTCGTCATCCCCGAAATAGCAGCAGCAAGCAGCAACAGCAGCATAGATAGCAGTAGCAGCAGCAGGTAGAAGAACGTCTAGGGTTTTTCGGGACAGTGGTGAGGGGTGTTGTATTGGTGCGTGTTGAGGCGAAGAGACATCCCCTTTTTGATGCTGTATGGCTACAGACATATTACCTGTTTGCTGCTGCATGGCTACAGATATACTACTTATTTGCTGCTGAATGGCTACAGATATATTACGTGTCACCTGCTGTATGCATAAAGATATATTACGTGCTTGCTGCTGCATGCACAAAGATATATTACCTGTTTGCTGCAGCATGCCTGCGCGCCACAGAGGACCATTTGCTCCAAATGTTTTTAAAAATCCAAAGCTGAACTTCGCCCAACAGCCACTCGTGATCGGCGCTAGGGTCGTACCCCGAAGTGGTTTCACCCTGCAGCAGCAGCAGCAGCAGGAGCCGTGGAAACAGGGCCCGCAGCAGCAGCAGCAGTAGCAGCAGCAGGAGCCGTCGAAGCAGAGCCAGCACCAGCAGCACGAGCAGAAGCGGCAAAATAGCAGACGCAAAGCAAATGCAACAGCAGCAGAAACAGATGTGCAGAAGCGGCAGCGGCGGCAGCAGCAGCAGCAGGAAAGAGAGAAGCACAAAGGGAAACAAGGAAGACTGCAAAACCAACAGCAGCACCAGCAGCAGCAGCGCAAGCATCAGGGGCAGCAGTATCTGCAGCACCACCAGCCGCAGCCCCATCCCCAACCCCTCCAGCACCAGCATCCGCAAGTCGAGCACAAAGCAGCAACAGCAGCAGTAGCAACCGCGGCGTCAGCCCATGCAGCAACAGCAGCACCATCAGCAGCAGGAGCAGCAACCGCAGCATCCGCATCAGTAGCTGCATCCGCAGCAGCATGAGCATGAACTTTCGCAGCAACAGCTCATCACCAGCATCGGCACCATCTGCTGCAGCTGGAAGAGGGTAGTTAAAGTTTGTGTTCATGTGGTTTCTTACCTTTTCATTGGTTGTTCCGGATATATCAATGATGTGCAGCAGCACATCAGCAACACGCAAGTCATCTAAAAATTTGCAGCCTAAGCCTCTCCCTTCGCTCGCCCCTGGTATTAACCCCGCAACATCCAGCAGACGCACTGGGATATGCCGACGACCCCCCACACAACGCCCATAACGGGGGCTGCACCCAACCCCGTACCTGCAGCAGCAGCAGCAGCAGCAGAAACAGCAGCAGCAAAAGCAGCAGCGGGGGGAATGGTAGCGTCGAGACAAGCGACATGAAAAGGAAAGATCCAGAAATCGTGTGGATATCGCAGCAGCAACAGCGGAAGCAGCAGCAGCAAATGAAGATGTGAAGTAACAATAACGGTAGCGTGCACCAGAGAGGAAATCGCAGCAAAACCACCAACATTAGCAGTAGCAGCGCCAACATGAGCAGCAGCAGCATCACCAACACAAGCAGCAGCAGCAGCACCAACACTAGCAGCAGCAACAGCAACAGCAGCGGCGCACTTCTTGCAGGGGCATTCTGTAACGTAGTAGGCGATGCCTTCATTGGGGTTTATGGTTGTAAAGGGGTAATTGCCGACCTTTGCAGAAGAACCCTCCGTAGCGGCATTAAAAAACGTGCTTTTCCCTGAGCAAATCCTAAACCCTTAACCCTTAGCCCTAAACCCTCGATTGACCCACAGTGGCTTGCTTATAGACTCAGCTACAGACAAAATGCGAAGAAAACGCGCGCGAAAACAACAGCAAATAGGTGACTATCTCCAGCAGCCACGCAACAACCCTAAACCCTAAACCCTAAACCCGAAGCCCCAGCGCCTCGGTAGAAATGTGCCTGCTGCGCCTACCCGCCGAGGGTTTTCCTACACAGCCTATGATGAAATCGCCCCCCATTTCTGTGCTGCCGCTAGCAGCAGCAGCTGCTATCGGTTTGCTGCTGCTGCCGCTGCTCTTCCTCCTGCCCCAGCTGCTGCTGAGGGTGCCGCTGCTGTGCTAGTGGCTGTTGCTGTTGATGCTCGTGCTACAGATTGCTCCTGCTCCTGCTGAAGTCGCTGGTGTTGCAGCGCATGCTGCTGCTGCTCGCGCTGCTGCTATTACTCCTGCTGCGGCCCCCGTTTGGAGACTGCTGCTGCCGTTGTTAGTTTGCTGCTCCTGCTCCTGCTGTGAGCAGCACTGTCGCCTTTTCTACAGCTGCTTCGTGTTGTGTGGCTGCAGCTTCTCCCACTGCTGCTACTGTCGGCTGCTGCTGCTGCTGCTGCTGCGGCGGTGTCGCTGCTGCTACATCGGCAAGCCAGCGAAGCCTTTCTACGTCAAAAGTAAAAAGATACTGCAGTGGTTTCTTTGCTGTTGCTGCAGCAGCAAGCCGTGTGCTGCAGCTGCTGTAGTTGCTGCAGCAACTCCGAGAGGGGACCCGGGGGGCCCCACGGGTACCCAGGGGCCCCACAGGGACCTGGCCTTTTTTAGGTTTTGTTGCTGTCGACACTGAATAATAGAATCAATTTGCTGCTGCAGCAACAACTCACGTACAATTCCTTGCAACACGAAGTAGCTGCTGAACGGGCCGCAGCGGCGGCAGCAGCAGCTGCAGCAACTGCAGCAGGGGCCTAAGCAAAAGCTGCAACCGCAGAAGGAAGCTGCAGAACATTCTGCAGCTAATGCAGCAGCAGGATTAGCGGTAAGCCAACAGCACTCGCAGCAACACGAACAGCAACAGCATCAACAGGAAGGCGTCAGCGGCGCTGAGTCCTTGACGCAGTACTCCTCAGTAGCGCTGCTACCCCCATAGCAGCAACAGCAACTGCCGCTGCAGCAGCAGCAGCGGGAGTTGGGGGAGCAGCAGCAACAGTGCGTACGGACACTGTAGCTGCGGAAGTCGCAGGCAGCACTGAAACCCAATGCGCACTCGGGCGACAGCTGCTGCTGCTCTGCAACAGCAACAGCAGCAATACCGGCATACAAAACAGCAGAACCAGCAGCACGACGAGTAGGGGGATAGAGCGGCAGAAAGCTGCTTGCAAGATTGTGGGGTGTCGAGACACTCGACACCCCACAACACCGATTGGGACTGTCAGCAGCAGCAGCAGCAGCAAGAGCAACAGCAGCAGCAGCAGCGGCAGCGGCAGCAGCAACAGCAACTGCAGCAAGCAAGCAGGAGCACCAGCACCGATAGCAGCAGTAAGCGGAGCAGGAGCAGCACTCTTGGCCATAGTAGAGAAGGCCGCGGAGGCAGCAGCAGCAGCGACTACCGCATCAGCACGCGCTGCAGGACAGGTGCAGCAGCAGCAAGGGCTGCAGCAGGACCTGCATTCACGCGAACTCGACCAGCTGCAGCAGCAGCAACACCTGCAACAACTGCGCAGTCAGCACTAGCAGCAGCAGCGGCATCATGCAATCCAGCGAAGTGAACCTGGCCTGCGCTTTGCTGCAGGACGCCTTTGGCCCTTATGTAGCCGCTGTGGGGCGGCAGCTGCTGCTGTGTCGCAGCCTCACCTTCTTAGAGCTGAGGGATTTGCTGCTGTCCAGCAACAGCGCAGCCACAGGAGGCCCCAGGACATCGGCTGCTGCTGCGAAGTCCGCAGCAGCAGCAGCACATCTTCAGCAGGGGAGAGATGAAGAATACTGCAAACTCAGAAACGCACTCCTCGTTCTGCTGCAGCATAATCTGCTGCACTGTACGCCCATAACCCCAATAGGCGGTGCTGCTGGGCCTGCAGCAGCAACAGCAGCAACAGGAGCAGCAGCAGCAGCATCTGCGCACGTCGACGCAGCAGCGTCGCACCGGCAGCAGGAGGCGTCTCGCCGTGGGCCAGCTGGGAGCAGCAACAGCGCCAGCAACAGCGCCAGCAGCAGTAGCAGCAGCAACAGTGCTGTTGCTCCCCAGCCGCACGGCGGTGTGCGCTACAGCCTCAACGTGCATGCAGCCCTAGCGCTGCTACGGTTCCCAGCTTTTGCTGCTATCACTGAAGAGCTGCTGGGCAGCAACGCGCGGCTGCTGCTGCTACAGGTCTTTAAGGCAGGCCGTGTGTGTATGCAAGACGCCGTCGCCCTAGCCCTAGCTGATCCATGTGGGTTTGCTGCTGCTGCTGCTGCTGCTGCCGGTTGTGTGGTTGCTGCTGCTGCTGCTGCTTGTGTAGCCACTGCTGCCCGCTTCATCGGGAGTTGCTGATGCTTCGGCTGCTGGTGGTGCGGGTGCTGCTACCGTTGTTGCTGCTGTTGTTGCAGACGCTGTTTCTGCTGCTGTTGCTGTAAGTGCTGTATGTGCTGCTGCTGCAGGCAGTGCTGCTGCTGCTGCTCCTTTGATCTCCTGTTGAGTGCTGGGGATGCTGATGGCTGTGTGCATGCGTGCTGCTGCTGTTGCTGTTGCTGCATTTGCTGCAGATGCAAACCAGGATGAGGAAGTTGCTGCAGCATCGCAGCAGCAGAGCCGGCAGCGGCAGCAGGAGCTGCAGCGCTGCTTCTTGGAGCTGGTCTCGAACGCATTCCTTATTCAGTGCGAGCACCCCATACCGTCGGTGCAGCAGCAGGAGCAGCAGCAAGGCCAGCAGCAGCACCAGCAGCTGCCTACTGGGCGCAAACGCAAAGCAGAGCCAAAGGCAGCTATGAGAAGACTGCCCTCAAAGACAGCTGACGTCCCGGTAGGCTCATCAGCAGCTGCTGCTGCAGTTGCTGCATTGAAGATGCAACAGCAGGAGGAACAGTGGCAAAGGCTGCTGCTGCTACTGTTGCTGTTTTTTGCTGTTGATACTCCTGCGGCATGCGCTGCTGCTTCTGCTGCTGATGGGGGGCACTTACCGTGCTTACCGCGTTTCTTCTCGAGTGTATGTACGTCTCAGGCGTACACCGCTGAAGACTCAGATGGCGAAGAGGGAGAAGAAAGCGGAGGCCTCCCCGGATTTCTCTTGATGATGCTGGGTCCGTACTGGCGCAGCTCTCAGTGGCTGCTGCTGCGGCTGCGAGTGTTGCTGCTGTTGTTGACATTGCTGTTGCTGCGGGTGTTGCTGCTGCTGCGGGTGTTGTTTCTGTGCCATGCGGGCTACAGCTTGAGAATCCATTCCGTTACTGCGGCTGCTGCTGCGGTTGCCGCTGCTGCTGCTGCTGCTCCAACTGTGTCCGTTGCTTTTAGATGAGGGAGACCCTGCAGCGAAGGCGCGGAAGACGAGCCCGCAAGGCGGAGTTAGCAGCGGCAGCAGCAGCACAAGACACGCGCAGAAGCAGCAGCAGCTGATGGACAGTCTGGTGTCTCGGCTGCAGCAGCAGCGAGTGCCCTTTCAAGTGAACATCCCCCTTATATCGCTGCTGCTCTGCAAAAAGGTACGGAGACGTGTCTTATTTTGCTGCTGCTGCATTGAAGACTGCTGCTGCTACTGCTGCAGATGCTGGTGTTGAAGCAGGGCGCCTTGCTGCTGTGGGGTAGTTGTTGTCACTGCGCTCTGCTGCGTGGCTAACGAGCGCTGATACTGCTACTGCTGCTGCTGATATTGCTGCTGCTGCTGCAGGCAGTGAAGCAGTTTGTAGTGGCGCGCGTTGGAGACACTCGGCTGGTCCAGGCGACGACAGCAGCTCTGCTGCAGGCCGTTCGGCTGAAGCCGCATCAGCAGCAGCAGTGGGCAGCAGACGAGCCACAGAACAATGCACGACTGGACGTACACTGCAGTAGGGACAGGCTTACCCATTCCGCTGCTGCTGTTGCTGCTGTGAATCTCGCTGCTCCTGCTGGTGCAACGGATGTTGCTGCTGCTACAGCGGATCTCGCTGCTGCAGCGGCTATTGCTGCCGCTGCTCTTGCTACTGCTGCTGCAACTGTTGTTGAGGTTGAGCGTGAATTTGCGTGCTCAAACGCGCAGAGTGGCTGACGTTCGACGCACTGGAGGCAGGGGTGAATGCACAACTGCAGCAGCAGCAGCAGCAGCAGCAGGCGTCTCGGGTGTCTGTACAGAAGTCGCAGCTCATTCGGCTCCTTGATGGCCTGACAAAGCATCCAGACCGTCTTTTGGCTACTACAATGAAAGGCAAACCCTAAACCCTAAATCCCCGATCCCAAACCCTAAGCCCTAAACCTGGGGAAGAAACCCAACACACGATGCATGCAGATACTTGGAGTGCAATTGAGTTGATGTTCAACTGAGGGTTTAGGGTTTCGGATTAAGCTGGCGGCCCCGCTGTTGTTGCTGCTGTGTTGTTACTCTGCTGTTCCTGCTGCTGGTGCTGCTGCTCTGTGGCGCAGATGGACAGGCAGCGTATAGGCTGGATTGGCAGCAGATAAAGGCCCTCATGCAGCGGCGCATCTTAAGCGAGTACGTGCTGCACTAGCAGAGCCTTGCTGCTGCTTCTGCAGTTGCTGCTGCTGCTTGCGTTTGCTGTTGCTGCGGCAGCTGCTCGACATCGAGAGACATCTCGGCAGCTGTTGCCGAGATGTTTATTTGCATAATTATATTCAGTAGCCAATGAACAAAATGGTTTATAGCTGCAAATATTTCTACATGAAGCTGGAGGCGCCCACTGGCCGTGCTGCAGCGTCTGCTGCTTTGCCCCCTTCTACTCTTCTCCTTCAAGCATCTGTTTTGCTGTTGCTTTGCTGCTGCTGCTGCGAGCTCCTTGGCATGCATGCACCGCTGCAGGTGCTGCTGCTGCTGCTGCAGTCAGGGCAGTGCTCGCATGCATTTCGGTTGGATGCTGCTGCTGCTGCCGCGGAGGGCAGCGCTCACATGCATGCAAGGGATGCTGCCGCTGCTGCTGGTGCTGCTGCTGCTCAGGGCCGTGTTGGCGCGCTGCGGCCCCAAGGCTGCGCGTGTTTGGAGGCGGCTAACGAGTGCAGGAGACTGTCCTGGGGCTTCTTCTGTGTTTTTTGATGAACAGATGGTAATGGCTTTTTGTTCTATTTTTTCTTGTTTTTTTGCTTTATTATTATTTTATTTCGTTTTATTTAGTTTTGTCCTTCTCTGCTTTACATTCATACTGTTGGGTGGCTTTTGCTCTTTCTTGTCTGCATATGAACGGAGGCGCAGTGCGTAGAGCAGACAAACACATCAATCGATGCGGGTATTTATTTGTTTTGCTTTGTTTCCTTTTCCTTGTGTTTAGTTGTTTATTTGATCGCGTTTTTTTCTGCTTCTTCCTCTCCTTTTCGTTTGCTGCATTCGCGGCTTGCTGATGCCCTCCTGCTGCTGATGTGCTTGCTTCTTTTGATGCGCTGGCTGCTGCTGCTGGTGTGGTTGCTGCTGCTGCTTTTTCTATCTGGTTGGGTTCTAGGAGCTGGTGCCGGTGCTGCTGCTGGTGCTGCTGCTGCTCGCGTTTCTCCCTGGGCTGATTTGTGTGCTGCTACAGCTGATGCTACTGCTGGGCGTTTTGCTGTTCGGATCCACGGAGCTGCTGCTGCTGCGCCTTGCTGCTGCTGCTGCTGCGCCTTGCTGCTGCTGCTGCTGCGCCTTGCTGCTGCTGCTGCTGCTGCTGCGCCTTGCTGCTGCAGATTGCGGACGGCTGTTTGCTGCCGCCAAGCGGTGCTCGTCAGGCCATGTATTCTCTCGCGCTAGCTGGGTTCGCGCGTTTCCATGAGTCGGTGAGGATGCACTGGCCGGCCCTAAATGTATCTAGCTAGCGAGCCAACTAGCCAGCTAACTAGCCAGCTAGCTGGCCGGCTAGCTAGCCGGCTAGCTAGCCAGCTAGCTAGCTGGATGAGTAGCGAGCGGGTTGGATCTGCATATACAAATAAAAGATGTGCAAATAAGCACGTCCTACGAAAGAAGTAAAAATGAATTAAATGCAAATATAGCAACTATAAACACAACAGAAACGAGGGGGTTGCAGCGCTTTGCGTGTTGCTGTTTTTCTGGGAAATACTGCGTCTGCCGCTGCCTCTCTATTTCCCTGGCGGTGGCGGTGTTTACCCAGCTAGCTAGCTAGCTGGCTAGCTAGTCGGGTGCGGGTTGTGGAGAGGTAAGGTGGTGAGTCCGCTGGCTTTGGCGTTCAGGACCGCCTTCCTGCGAGCTGCACTTCGATGTCTTCTAAGCATGCGCTGGTGATTCGCTGCAGCAGCGAAGACACACAGCAGCAGGTTCTGCAGTGTATATTAAAAGCAGCTTTGAATCTGCTGGAGCGGAAGAGGGCCGAGGCGCAGCAGCTCGCTCAGCTACGATGCAGGTGCTTTACTTTACTTGCTGCAGCTTCCTCTTCAGGGCGTGCTGTCTCTTCTTTGTCTCTGTCTCTGCTCTTGCCACCCTCTCTCCGTTTGTCTCGGATAGAGGAGTAGTCCTCTATTAGCTTGTATTTGTACGTCGGTCTCTGTATTTGTCTTTCTTCTCCATTCTCTTCCCGTCTCTTTCGCTGTCTTCGTTTGTTGTATCTGTTTATTTTTCTGTCTTTGTTCCTTTCGTTCTCAAATACTTCTTCTACGTTGTCTTCGCTTTATTTGTATTTTTATTCACTTATTTTTTTATGTGCATTTGTTTGCGTTTGTTTATTTGTATTTTTGTATCTGCGTATGTCTATATATATATATATATATATGTTTGTTTTTGCTTGTTTGCATTTGTTTGTATTTGTTTATTAGTATATGTTTATTTGTATTTGCGCATATGCATTTACTTCTATTGGCTGCCTTGCATCTGTTTATTAGCATTACTTTACTCACATTTAAATATTATATTTTTATTTGTATTCTTTTGTCTTCTTCCCTTTATAAAGGACGCAGTGCCTAGCGGACTCAGAGCTGCAGCAACAAAGACTACGAGAGGCAGCAGAAGATATTTTAGAGGCAAATGTTCTCAAACTAGCGGAACCCCTCGCCATCCTCATGGACATCTAAACCCCATAAGCCCTAGGCATTATGTACAACTACAAATATATTCATATATATGTAATGTAAATGCATATATGCAAGCGCATATATCTATTGTCTGAATCATTATTACCTACATATATATATATATATATATATATGCATATATATAAGGACACCACGCACGCCCACGTCCGCAGAAGCCCACTTGGGTCCCCCAACGCTCCCGCAGTGGGAAGGGTTTCCTTGGGTGGTTGTTCCCTTTTTGTTGTCTTCTTGAAGTGAGAGGGAGCCCTTTCGCTGGGGTACTCTCCTTTGGAGCCTCCGCCCTGTAGGGGGCCCCCCTAGAGGGTACGGGGCCCCCATACAGCGGAAAAGGGGCCCCCTTAGGGGGTAGGCGGACCCTTTCAGGGTAGGGGGCACTTCAGGTTGGGTAGGATATTGTCAGGAAACCGCAGAGGGCCCTTGTGGGGCCCCTTCTTTAGGGCCCCTATCATAAGGATACTTGTGGGGGCCCCTTAGGCGTTCAGGTCGCAGTGTCTGCAACTAACTGTGGGTTGGGGCCCTCAGGGGGCCCTGAACTGCTAATGTTCTTGGTGAATGCAGGCAAACGAAAGAAAATTTATTTAACTACATAAGCAATGACTTAATATTTAGGAAGACAATGTATTTGAAACATAAATAATGAGACAAGTTTGATGAGAGAATGCAATTCACTTAGTGTTCTAGGGGGAACATCACTTCAGACAAATTTACATAGAAATAATTCCATTCTTTATACGCCGAATTTGTCTAGTAGACAAGGGTAATGGAAAGATACTTCATTTCTTCCTCCGCCGCTGCAGTGTTGTTGGCTCGCCTCTGTCCTTTTTTGTCTTCCTTTGCAGCTCTGCTTATCTCGCAAGGTGCTCCTCTCTTTATCCTCGCCCTTATATCCAGTCTCCCTGTGGTTGTGTATTTGTCTCACTGTCGGTCTGTAGCCTTCAGTGTCTCCAGTCTCCTTGTGCTTGTGTATTTGTCTCACTGTCGGTCTGTAGCCTTCAGTGTCTCTCTTTGGGTTTTTGTGTCTCTTCGTTTTGCTGTCCCCATCCTCTCGGTTTGCTTGTGTTTGTTTCAATCGACTTTTATCTGTCTTCTTTCATCTACCCGTCTGCCCTGATTTGCTTGTCTTGCTTTTATTATTTTTGTTGTTCGTATGTTTTTGTCTAAATGTTTTTTCTCTCGTATTCTCTTTGTGCTGAGTCCCTCGGTCTCCGTTTGTCCCTCCGTGTATTCTGGTCGCATTGCTCTTCTCTGTCTCCCTGCATTACAAATCCCCCACTGTCTTATCTACTTGTATTTCACTGTCTCTTTCCCCGTATCTGTCCGTCTCCTTTTGTCTCTTCTCGCTGGTGTATTTATCTGTCTCTGTCTCCTCTCCGTTTCTGTCTATCTGCTTTGTGCTCACGTGCCTACTCCTGAATCTCCCCCTGCCTTTGTCTTTTTTGCTTTCATCAAAAGGAGTGTGGGGTTTCTAATACAAAGAAGTCTCTTGGGGCCCCGAACGGGCCCCCACCAAAGCGCCCGCACCCTCTGGGGCCCCATGTACTCTGCGGTTAAAGAGACCCCACGTACACTCTGGGGCCCCCTCAACCCCACGTACACTCTGGGGCCTCCTGAACCCTTTCAAGCCCCCTGGAGCCTATGGGACCCTATCTACACGCTAAAATCATTTGTACCCTCTAGGGCCCGTATATATGTATATATATATATATATATA